AATGGAGTATATTCAGTTCAGTCTGAGCAATCTATTACAGCTTAAAAAAATCAGTACAGTTAGTTTACAATGATAGGAAGCTATAACAAGAAACAAATGAGAAAATCATTGGGATTCAATAAAATTGGAGTGGATTTAATAAGAGTAATGCTGGAAACTAATCAGAATGAATGTAGTACTTTTTGAAATTTTATAATTGCAATAGGGATATATTTAGAATGAGATAGATATATATATAAATGGTGTGGATATATGGTGTTTAAATGAACAAATTTAATAAGGATAATATTGGAACATAACGTGGACAAATATAGAATTTAATTTTTTTTTAAAAGAGATATATTTAGAATGTGATAGAATATAAGAATGGTGTTGAAAATAGCAGCTTCCCTTTTGAATCCCTAAATTGGATCCCAATTCGTGTCTGGATTTCAATTCACCTCCTAATCAACTGACTCCTTCAACCGAACAAACTTTCTGATGCAAGTAAATGATTGAAGTTCTAGAAGCATTTGTTTTTCCTGTGTGATGAAAAATATTCCGTAGGCCATCATGGTAAACCAATGAGCTACTGGGAATGGGCTGATGAAATTGGGGCTGAAGGAACCTGTCAATGTGTACAGTCGAATGGGGGCAGAATAGAGTTTGACATGAGGAGCTATCCATAATTCACTACAACAAAAACAGCCTATGTTTGGACGTGTGTTGCAATTCAAGGAGTTGTCGTAGAGTAGGACCCCTATAATGACATTTAAAAAACGTCGCCGTAGACCTAAGGCAACGTTTAAAAAATGTTGCCTTAGGTCTATGGTAACGTTTTTTAAACGTGGCCATAGGACCCCTAAGGCAATGTTTAATGAACGTTGCCGTAGGGTCTACGGCAACGTTTTTTTAGCTGCTTTTTTTTTTCCCTAACAGCAATTTATGAAAATTGATTGGCAAAAATTAAAAATGACTTCTTATGAATAAATTTTGGAATTTCTTGAACATTAGAATGTGATACAATTCCACCTACATAAAAATGAGCTTCAAAATGAAATAAAATTAGAGGAATCCATCACCAACTCTACATCTCGCTCCAAACAAAAGTTACTAGTCACAAACTACCCAAAATGTGAACCACCCTAATTGCTCTCTAAATGTCTCCTTCTAGTTCTCCTACTACCCTCCATTATTATGTCTTCACTTTTCCATCCGGAATAACCGAAGCAAGAGCCACCTGGAAAATGCAGAAAATCCATTAGCAAAAAAGATAAGGAAAAGAATAGTTGAGTTACATCCAATATTAGCATCCCAATTAATAAATAAGCTACCATGGATTAAGTAATCATAAAGGAGATAATCATCTTGGAGTGGAGTCATTCTCTAGGATCTTAAATTCTAAAAATATGCTGTTGTAATGTGCACAAGAACTATTAATAGATATACCTTGCGAAGGAGAATAGCAATGTCATCTTGGGAGTCTTCAATGGACTGACTGCCACACTCTGTGCACCTCACACTGTGACTTATGTCTGCCATACTCTCTTCAAATGTGTGCAGTAAGATTAGCACCTTTTGGGAAGACAAAACCCCTTTCTTATCCAACGTTCGATCTAAGTTGTTGCCTTTATCATTGTTATAGTTCTGCTGTGAATTTATCTGTACACTACCAGCTCGAGTTCTTCTGTGCCTTCAATCCTACTAAATATAAGTATGAAAACTATCAAGTTTATTCAAGTATCGATCTTAGCTCTCCAGGACCAGACCAAAAGTACTTGTGTACAAAATTTCGATTTAGAAAACAGATCAGAGGCAACACTCCCAATTCAAGCAATGACTCCATCCCTTTTTACTTTAGGGATTTATCTTCACCTATCTTGTTGTGTATTTTATTAGCAAATGAATCATAAAAATACAATAATTAGAGAGAGTGATTTTCATATGCAAAAGAACTATATATTAAACAAGGAACCTTAGTANGCAAAAGAACTATATATTAAACAAGGAACCTTAGTAGGTTCAACTTTCCAAAACCGAGTCATTTAAAAAACCAGCAAGAAGTTAAATTTTCTCCAAGCTCAACTATATAATGGCCATCTTTGTCATCTTTTTCCCTTAGGAGAACCATTTCGAGCACCCTTAACAAACCGAGAATTAGCGTACTATGTGCTTGAAGGCGCATAGCTTGTCACATTCCTAATCTCTTGTCCACAAACGATTCCTAGCTGAGCCTACACACAGACATCCATTCATGTTTTTTTCAAAAATCAAATATCATTAATTTTGTTTACCTCTTTGACACCACCTTCCGTATTACCAAACACACTTCATTCATTGCATAGATAATAACACCAAAACGTGGTTCACAATTGAAAATCATAAGAAATAACTTGATTCAAACACCAAAGAAAACAAAGCCCAGAGAAAAGCCCTGCCATATTCATGATGCTTAACAAGATCTAGTTCTGTCAATATCATGTTAACAAACCATTTACATGTATAACTATTTGCATAAATTCATTCCTAAAGACCTGATATGGGTATAACTAAACAGAGGTACTTACAGAAATCATAAATCATTAAAACTAACCAACATAGATTAAGTAAAAAAAGTCCGTCCAAAAAATAACCAACAAAAACACAGCATTATTTCAAATTCCCAAGACCACGTCTTCCATAATATCATCCAGAATTTGTTCCCACAGCACTAATGTTCAAGTATAAGCAAACAATGTCAGTCCAAAAAATAAGAATGAAGATCTAGCAAAAATGAAAATATCACAGCTTCAAAATAGCATACAAGGAAATTCATTTTTTCCCCTCCCCCAAACAATTATTTTTTGAGATTAAAAAGAAAAGAAAAAAAATGTTAAAAAGGCATTAAGTTTGTTGTGTGATGAATCGAAAACGTGCCTTCATTTGAGACATAACGTCTTAAAGATTTTTTTGGATATTTCGACGAGGCTCGACAATTCGCCATCGCCAACCACTTGCTTCCTAGCCAGTTGATTTTGTAGGAAAAGAATGATAGATTCAAAAAGATGAGAGCTAGTCAAACTATCCAACCACTTGCTTCCTAGCCACTTGATTTTGTAGGAAAAGAATGATAGATTCAAAAAGATGAGAGCTAGTCAAACTATATTGCACACAATGAGTAGAAAGGGTTTTGCTCACTTTGAAGCTGAAATAGTAAAGCAATTGATAAATTATAAGTTAAATTTGATTGAAAAAAATTAAAAGCTTCATTTCAACTGAAGAGTAATAGTGTTGAACAAGAAAATGTAAGTGACTATCATTACCGAATGCTATTCTATGTTTTATATTCTTTCCAATATTCAAATTAACAAATTGTACTTTGCTATGAATTTCATGGCATAGAGACACAAGTTTGAATAGTTTAGACAACCTTCAGAGTAAGAAATGGAAATCGTTACACTGGTTTAGGGAAGCTGATGTTGTTGCAAATGATGAAATCGCTTCAACCAATCCCTGTGATTTAGTGCATCATGTACCCCTTGGTGATGAATGTTGGAGAGTTTAGGTTAATAAAGTGAGTGATAATGTTATCTTATGTTGTCCCATACGTGAGCTATTTCTTCTTGAAGATGAATTAGGAAGTGCAATTGCATGGTTAATTAGGTTTATCAAAATGGATTAGTTGTAATCACAATAAAGGTATGATTTACTTGTTTTCTGTGTAATTGCTCATTTTAATGCTTTTACTATTTTGATATCATTTGTTATTTACCGCTCACTCTATTTTATTAACTATACCCTCATTTATTTTTGTGATATGCATGGAGTTTATTGTTTTAGGGATAGCTAAATTGTTGATCAAAAAATCAAATTCGATATAGACCAATTATCTTGTACTATTTTAATTAGTTATTTTTGGAGTAATAGTCTATACTTTCGGTATATTGCTATCAACTATTTGAGTACGCTAATGATGTTGTTAGTAATTATTTAGATTAACTTTACATTTTGACATTTGTATTAATTGGATCACACTCAATATTCTTATTTATTGAAATTATAGAAAACATGATTATATGTGATGATATAGATAATTATCTTCTTTAATTATTATAAGTTTACTGGCTATCAAATAAATAAATATTTTTTAAAAAATAAATAATCATTTACGACGAGCAAAAAAGCATGCCTATAAAATTTCATCATTTCAATGCATGCGCGTGCACACCATATGAACATTTATGGCATGTCAAAAAATATTATCTTCTTTATGGCCTGCATTTACATGCCGAGTTATGCTACATGTACAAAATTGGGTGACAAAATAACATCTACACCATACATTTTAAAAACAGATTTTTAAATCATTTGAAATCAACGGTCTGGATTTTGCCAACACATTTTGTAACCCAACTTTTGTAACTCAACTTTGTACAAATAGCTTTATTGTTTACACACTGTAGAAGGTTAATTATTTACGTTGCATGCCGTACCTGGTTCATTAGCGGCATGCCTTATGCAAGCCGTAAAAAAAAAAGAGTATCTACACACTACAAGAAAAATGGACTTTTGCAACACTTAAAAGGCAACATTCATTCATTAAATGTTGCTAAAGGGGTCTATTGCAACGTTTGGAGGAGTGAATGTTGCTAAAGGGGCATATGGCAACGTTTTTTAAATGAATGTTGCAAAAAATGACTTTTTGCAATGTTTATTGAACGTTACGAAAAGTCTAACCTTTAACAATGTTTTTTGAGCATTGCGAAAAGTCTAACTTTTTGCAACGTTTAAAAAATGTTACAGTAGGTGAGAAATGTTAACCTTTCGCAACGTTTATTATGCGTTGCGAAAAGAGAAGCACATTATTTAGCCCAACGTTAGCCCTAATCTCGTCTCCGTCTCTCTTTTCTCCCTCTTTCATGTCATTTCCTTAATTCAATTTCTCCACTCCTGACTCCTCTCCTCTCTCCCGACTCCAGTCCTGGCGACACCCATGGTGCATCAGTCTCCCGACTCTCCCAAAGTCTCGTTCACTTAGAGGAATGATGGTTCGTTTGCGGCTTTCGAGGTTCGGATGCAGAAACAAGCCATTCTATAGAGTAATGGCAGCTGATAGTACAATCCCCTCCCGGGTATATTGTTCTCCAATTGTACTGGCATAGGCAATTTTTTAGTAACTTCTCTCCAAATAATCGAATTTCTTTTGAATGAAAAGAAAAAAAAAAGAACGACTTTTTCGTGGTAATAGTTCTATAGAAGTGATTCTTATTTCTTTAGGTGTTTTTGTCCTTATTTTCACTGGAACTGAAGGGTATGTTTGTTCTGTGCATTATTCTAATTGTGTTGATGTTGATTTCGAACATAAAAATTTTTAGGGATGGTGCAAAATTTTGAAATTATTGAAGCAAACCAACCTCCTTTTCCTTATTTTTCTGAACTTCGACCTCTCCTTTAGTTTGAGCCATTCTATTACTGAGAAGCTACAAGCTCCTTTTATAGAGATCCCTCGCATTTTATGGATTAATTACCATTCCTATTAGGCTGATTGCAATTTGGGGTAATTTCATTTGTCTTATTAAGCACAGTGCAGAGGTGAATTTATAGTTTTTTTCTATTAATTGTTTCTATTTTATTGAACTATGCAGGTCAAGATAATGGTAACAGAATGGGTCTAAATTTTGATAGAGTGAAGTAAGTGGTTTAGAAATCTTAATTCAAATTTCATACCTGATTTACAGAAACTTTTCTACCTTAAGCAATGTATTAAGCTATATCAGGTAAAAACTTGATCTGTCTGTCCACGGTGACATGTTTGAAGAAGTACAAAATGTATTGAGCTTCTCAAATTATTTACTTGTTGCTTTTCCTCCTTTAATTGTCATTATTTCTTATTATTCTTTAAAATTTCCTGGGCTTGATATATATTGGTTTGCCAATAATTTCAACTTATAAAATCATTTAAAGATTTGACACTCTTTGATTCCTCATGAGTTGGTCTAGTCATTTTTTGGGTTCATTTGCAAGTTACTAAGTTTTATTTGTTTCTTGCAGAATGAGTCTTGTTTCTTATCTTTCTAGTTATTTGGCTCATGCAAAGTTTGTGTCTGCTTCATTAGTTGCTGCTACACTCGAGAGGTAGTCAAAAATTTCTTGTCTTTCTTATAAACGTTAATTATGAAATGGGAAACAACCTGAAATAAATTAAAATATTTGATTTAGTTCCATTTTTCTTTGTAAGGTTTCAGTATTGCAAATTGGTGTTATGGTTACTGCAAGAAACATGACGTTGGTGTTAATCCGAGAGCTCATAAAGTCTTTTACGCGGGGTGCCAGGTATTGGATGCGTGCATATGTTACTGAGTTGAATTTTTAAGTTAAATTCCTTTATATGTGGCATCTTCTAAGGTGTCTATGTTGCGGGCAGTCTGATTTCTTTTAGACTCAAGCACTTTCACATCTTGCTTGAACTGAATGATCATTTCATTTGTAACGTTGTCTCTCCATTAAAAGACTCTTTTAGTTGTGGAATGAAAGCTGCAAAGTTGGAATCTCAGTCATCTTAGTTGTGGCATTATCTTTTGTTGGCTAACGTTTCATTATTATATTAATTAGTTCATCCCATCCATTTTCTTTCTTATTTTGGTGAGGTATGGATGTGTATTGGATGGTATAGTATCTAAGTATACTTCTGGACCTAGTTCCATTTTCTTGTGTGGATGATCGTTGTGAAAACTGAACTTGTTGATCAAGATTTCTTAGTGAAGTAAGTTCACCAGGGTTGGGAGTGAGCATTTTGGGTGAAGATTTATTCAATTGAGATTTTCATCCCCGTTAAACTCCTCAAATTGGAGTCATGCATCTTGCCAACAATTACTCGTTTTTGGCCTTTGGTTTTCCACTTGAAATGTATTCCTGGTCGTACTTGCTGAAGTTTGCAACTATATACATATGTAGATGTTACCCAACGTTTGAAATATTTCAGATTCCAGACAATGGAGACTTCAGATTTCTTTTGGTGTGTCTGCGATTGGTGTGATTTGCTTTTCATAAACATATGAACCAATCTAGTTTCTATTCATGTCACGATAGATTTTAAGTTTTTTTGTGCTGGTATATCAATTGCCTATAACTACCATATCTTGTATGGGACTTTTGAACCTGTAGATGCTTGGACAAAGCTGTTCTGCAACTGAAGGAAGATAGTGCAAATCCAAATCCTTGGAGACTTTGCACAGTGACACAAGTTGAAGAAGTCAAAATTCTTCTAAAATATACTGGATGGAAAAGTGAAGATAGAATAATGGAAGGTAGTAGGAGAACTAGAAGCATACATTTAGAGGGCAGCTAGGGTGGTTCATATTTTGGGTAATTTGTGACTAGTAACTTTTGTTTGGAAAGAGATGTAGACTTGGTGCTGGATTTCTCTAATTTTATTTCATTTGAAGCTCTTTTTTATGTAGGTGGTGGTGTATCACATTTTAATTTTCAAGTGTATGGATTCAAAAATTGTAATGAAATTATTAATTTTTATACAATTTTAAAATTTGTTCAAAAGTAGTATTTTCAATTTTGCCGGTCAATTTACTTAAATTTCCCAAAAAAAAAAAAAAAACCTACGGCAACGTTTAAATTGCCGTATAAAAAACGTTGCCAAATAGGTCTTTCGCAACGTTTTTTAAACTAAAGACCTACGGCAACGTTTAAAAAACGATGCAAAGAGGTCTTTCGCAATGTTTTTTAAACGTTGCCGTAGGTCTTTGGCAACGTTTAAAAAACGTTGTCGTATCTTTTTACTCTACGGCAACACATCGATTTGCAACACATGTCCAAATGTTGCAAAAGGCCTAGACAACGTTTTTTGAACGTTGCAGTAGACTATTTTTGGTGTAGTGACAACATGACTTTATACAACATTCACATGTATACTGTAAATCACCTTTTACGGCATCCATTGCATGCCATAAAAATTCAACTCTGTTTGCACGTTGATTATTGCCTTTGCATATTTGAAGAAATCTATGTATTCGATGATGCCATCTGCCTTTATCATTTTTTTTCTTCCTGGAAAGTAGTTGGCTGCTAAAAAGTGGCGCATCTTTAACTTTGATAAGAATTCAAGGGTACACGATGAATTTCTTTATTATTATGATAACAAAGTAATGTGTCACTTCAGAAGGACGAGAAATAACTTATTAGATGATCGAGATTAATGATAATATGAAAATATGATGGATGCAGTGAGATTTTAAGAATTTCTCTTCAAGTAATACAAGTAGAATTCTTCGAACTTTGTTCCAGTTTCTATTCTTCTCCATTCTATGCATTTTCCTTTAAAGTCTTCTTTAAGTGTGCAGTAATTTAACAACTGGCAGTTTTCTGGAAACTTTGCTAGATTAGTTCTGCTGTGTGTACAGAAAAGGGCAGCCACAATTTCTACATAACACACTTGGAGGTTTTCTATTGGAAAATGGCACCCAAAAAAAAAAAAAAAAGACCAAACAGATGCTACCAGCATCTGTGGAAATTCTGGCAGCAATTCCTCCGTACAAGGGGAATTGCTATTACTCGAGATGTGGCATTGTTATTTCTCAGGAGAATTCAGGCTATCTATCGCATCATATTGTTGGAATTCACGTTCAAACTTGAAGAGAAGGAAATTTTTTTTGTCTGATAATCCTGTCATCTAGTTTATTTTTGTTGGATATTTTATTTGGTAGCAACTATAGCCATGGCTGGTTCTATTAGTCAAATTATTAAATCGTTAAACAAATCCTGAAATTTTGTCTACCACGTGTTCTTGTTATATATTTGACTCCTTTGGAACTTTGTAGCAATCTTGGTCAGGAATTTAGCCTCTGTATAGGAACAATTTATAAACAATTTAATTTATAAATAGATAGAAATTAGTCGTGGATAAGTAGATGCTAATTGTTACATGAAATGTGTAGTTGAATATGAAATTTGATAATTTGTAAAAGATTTATATTTTTGGCCAAACAGAGGCTTAGTCAATTATAATGTGGACTAAGGAATTAATGATTTGATTGGCTTTAAATTATGCCAACATCAATGCATCTAATCAATTTTCAGGTAGCACACGCACAAGCACAACATTTGAATGAAGACCATGTTACAGATCCCAAAGCATTGATGGATGCTAGCGAAGATGTAATTGTCAGACAGGCAGTATAAAACGTGGCAAATACTGAGAAGACAATCGTTTGCACCATTCACTCACCATGCATCGATATATTTGAAGCATTTGATGAGGAATAAGTTGCCCTGCAAATTGAGAGAAATTTTATGATATTACAAAAAAATGTTTTTATGAAAAAAAGGTCTTTTACTATTATCTTTAATTACGTTGTAAAGAAAAACCGCTATAAGCGGATATTCCACAACCATCCACTTGACTTTGCAGTGAGAGTTTCCTGCTGTTCAGTGGTGGCGTGGTGTGTGTGGCAGTGTGTGGTTGGCTGGGTCATGGGTGGAAGAAGATGGACTTTTTCATTTTTTGTTTCTTTATTTTTTGTTTTTACTTTCTGAGTGTATATAAAGTCATTTGACAAAATTGTACCTTGGAATAAAAACAAAATAAGGGAGATAGCATTACAAGCACAAAACTAACGGCCTTTTGGATGTATTCCTTCCAAAAGCACCATATGCACAATAAAAGAGAATTTTAGGTACCATTTGTGCTACATTTGAGAGGTTTGAACCAAATTAAATAAGCAACTTTGGCAAAGGTTTGAGACCCTCGTGCCAATTTTCCTACAGTAGTATGGAAATTGCTAGCGATTTGGACTTTCCATGGTGCAAGAAATGCACACAATAAGAGAAAAACGTTATGAAAATGATCAGCACTTTTTTATGAATCTAAGATGATTAGATTTAATATGATTTACAATGTGACGAGGTATAGCTCATTGATTAGTATATTAACAAAGGGTTCCTCTTACCCCTCGTTTATATCGTCAATATTATTTCTTTACCCACAATGACTGCACTTATCATCGTCATTGATGATTTTGTATGCACATTGATAAGAAGTAACACAATAATATTAACAATATTGTCTGTGCAAAGCATGAATTACTTATGGTACATTATAGATGGTACATTATAGAAGGAAGTTATAATATAAATAAACCATTTTTTTTCTTCAACCATGGAGCCTCTACCAACTTTGCAGGCTCTTGCTTGCCTTCTTGACAAGTGACATTTTAATCAACTGAAATTTAAATTAGTCGGAGTACTAATTTTATGGAACTATCAAAATAAAGAAATTGGACTTTGTAATTTTAAATTTAACCTTTTTTCTTCCAGTTAGATGTTAAATCCTAAATTTGTCAGCATAAATTAATGTACTTTTAGGCTACTTTCGGCACACAGAACTTATTAAAAATTTGATATAAAATTATAATAAATAGTATTAGATGGTATTATAGTGGACTTATGCGAATAATATACCACGTTAAATTTGGATGATAGTTTAGGTCCAATTAAGAAAGAGATTCTAAATGACATTAAGGAAAATATAAAATTATTTGATTTTGAGATAAAAAAAACTGAAGATGAAGACATCTGAGCAATGGGTTGGACGAGACTGCAGCTTTGCAGCAGCCGACGCCGCTGCCTAGAATGGGCAGCATCGTGGTGGCTCTGCCAGCATGCTTGGGTGGTATGGCAGCAGCCTGAACATTGATGTCAGTTGGCAGTGGCTGCCTATGATGGAAAAAGGAAGGTAGAAAATTACAATAATATTAAAATCAGATCACAAAAATCTGCATGGTGATGACAATGAATTCCCGTCTGTAACAATAACTAGAAAAACACGTGTATAGAGATGAGTACAAGAATACAAGTTCTGCTTACATACCTCCCTTCAAATTTTCACAGACAACAACAAACTCAATTTCTCATTAATCTCTCTCTTAAAACACACCTATTTTCTCATTATCTCCCTCATCTTGTAAAACTTCTCTAGGGTTTTGGAAGTGGCCCTTGCCATTTTCTCATAAACTGATCAGGTAACTCAAATTTTAACCCTAAGTTTTCTGTCATATTTTTTGCTGTTTTTTTTTTTTTTTAAATTTTTTGTTTCCTACCCAATTCAACAATTTTTAGGTACTTTTCTACCTACTCCTTCCCTGCATTTCATCAATTGTGTGATTTTTGGGAGTCGGTTTGGCTTAATTGGTTAAAGATTCAATCCTTTTCTTTAAAGATTTAATCTTTTTTCTTTTTCATTTTTTTGCTAGTAACTAGGGTTTCCTCTTGAATTAAATAGATTTATGGGTTTTGTGGTGCTTATATATCTATTTTTGTACAGTCCAATAGTGGTGGAGAAGGGGACATTCAGAGAGGTGGGATGGATAGTGTGTTCAATGAAGAGATACTAGCACACAAGCTCTCAAAGCTCAAAAACACACAGCAGTGTATTGAAAGTATATATATCCCTCAATAAATTGATTTGCTATTTATGATGATTTTGTTCTGGTTTTCAAATTTAAATAATAGATATGCTTAGAATTTTTTTATGTTTTTTCTTGAAAAAGAAGAGAAAAGGTCTTCACATATGAATTTTTTATGTGTTCAGTTATTGGCTATTCAAGTGATTTAATTAGTTGACAGATTTTCAGCAAGTCTATAGAATATGATAAACTGAGTTTTATGCTATGATATAATTATTAAAATTAAACAGAAAATGGGGGATTTTTCGTCTTCAATATAACCATGAATCATCATTGATGTAATTTGGTATTTGGTTGATGGTTTCTTTAATTAGATGGTAATATGGCTTTTCTTTTATATGTTTTTATCATGAGAAGGCTTAAAATGGAAAGTCTTATTCAGTTTTTGGAATTTAGCATGGATAAGATAAACGGTGAATAACGGTTCCTAACCTACTATGCTACACATGTTCTTTTATGTACGGTGCTAATAATATCGGATCTTTTATTTGATTTCTAGAGTTCGGGTCGCTGAGCATTTCTCTGCTATTAATGTAATGATGGAACAATTAAAAATAATTAATGGTTTATTGCCTACCCAATTACTCGTGTTCTTTTGCATTTTGTGTTAACTTCGGATATGCTTTATATGGTTCCTACGAGTTATGGTTCTTCCATACTTGTTCATTCATATGTTCAGATCACAGTTAAATCTTATTTTTTGTAAGCATAAGCATTCCTAAATTCAGTATGTTTAGACTTCAACTTCGATCCAGAATAATTATGCTGTTAAAGATTTCTCTTCACTAAAACACCATTTTCTCGTTGATGAAGATTTTCTAATCTATGTCTAATATTTCTTCTTTGCTTTTGCCTCGTGTAATAATTCCAACGAATGTTATCCTGTATTTCATTTGAGATTTTGCAAAATATACTTCTACTTTGTATGTCTTAATCTGGCGACTAGTTTAAGTAGACAAACTTACCATGTCTACTTTTTCCTTCTTTATGGCTTCTACTGCCCTAAGATCATTTCGGCTGAAGATTTATTTTGTACCCACAAATTTGACGAGACATTGATTGAGCACGACAATTCATTGTTCTTGCTGTGCTACTTCATTCTGAAACGGAAAAGCCAAAATCTGAGATTGCACTTCTTACAGTACATTGTGGCAATTATACATAGAGCATGTTTAGCTGTGGTTAAAAGTAAGAAAAGTTTCGTTAGTATAAAGAAACATTGAAAATTCTGTTTGGCAAAATGACTAACTTAAAGTAAGTTTGACCAACTTTTAAGCACAAGCGAAAATTCTCCGGCACTTCTTGACTAGTCCTAACTGCATTAGATAAGTACATTTTTGTGCTACCTTATGCTTGCCAATCTTTTGATACATATTTTTACCTTATCTTTCTTTGTAGCTTTGTCGCAGTGGTGCATTTTTTACCGTAGTAAAGCAGACCAAGTTGTTGCAACATGGGACAAACAATTCCAAAGTTCAGAGATGGTGAAGAAAGTGCATCTTTTGTACCTTGCACATGATATCCTGAAGAACAGTAAGGAGAACGGAGATGAATTTGTCTCCAAATTTTGGAATGTTCTTCCTTTGGCACTCAAGGATGTTGTGAAGAATGGGGACGATCATGGAAAGAAGGCCGTCTCAAGATTGGTAAGAAATTTCCTCGTCCATTTTTTCTATTATTCTCAACAATCATTTGTTTCAAAGATCGTTTGGAAGACCTTTTATGGAACTGTTCAAATCTGGATTATTACATCATTTTTTGCCCCATGGTAGAATTATTTTTTTCGACAACTATAGGTGGGCACCATATCAGTTGGTAGGAGTCGCTTGACTATTATGATAATCTTATTATTAGGTCAAGAGATGGGAAGAAAGGGAAATTTTTGGATCCTGTGCTCAGAGCCTAAGAGATGTAATGCTTGGAGAAGAATTGCCTCCACTATTGGAGTATGGGAAGAAACGTTCTCGTTCTATCATAATAGAAGGGGACTCTAGATCTATCAAAACGGTAAGATCAACTGTGTATGTTTGCAGTATTAGACAATATATTGAATAAAATATTACTTTCTTTTCTTCTTGAGTAGTGTCCTATGCTAATCCACCCAACCAAACATGTCTCTCCTTTACTAATATTTTTGGATTCTTATCCTGCATGTGTTTTCCTTTGAAACCAGAAATTGACCATTGGAAGCACAGAAGAAAGAATTGTTTCCGCTTTTAACTTGGTGGTCAGCGAACATCCCATTGAAAATGAAGAAATGAATAAGTGCAAGTCCGCCGTCCAACTTGTGAGTAAGATGAGAGAAGATGTCAGCATTGCCTTAACAAAAGGTAGCAACTCGAGAAAAAATTACTATTTCTGTGTAGGCTGGAATTGATTCATAGTTATTGAATGGACAATGATCCCAGAAAAGCCCTTAAGCTCTGACTTTTTAAGTGGTATTAAAGAGTATATGAGCATGTTTGGTTAGGCCCTAAAAAAAAAAACTTAGAAGTATGTTTTAAACCTAGCCAAAAGCGCTCTCTTCAGCAATCTTCTTCTGAGTTATTCATGGTTTTTGATGTGATGCTCTTGATTTTTTGTTAAAAAGAATTTGCTTCTTCCTTTTGTAGCCAAGGATTCAACGCGGAAGACCTTAGCCAAAGAACTAGAGAAGGAAGAACTTGTTTTGACTCAGAGCATTAAGAAACTTAAAGTTGCTGAAGCAAATAGAGTTATCCTTATATCACAATTAGAAGAAGCACTTTACGAGCAGGTACAACATCGTATATTTACCAGAATTACTTCTTTCTATATTTGCAAAATTTGATGACCTTGGCTGACGTGCATTTTTTTTTTTTGTCGTTACTAGTGTGATTTTTTAGAAATCCGAGCTGGAGAATGTTCGTATGCAAATGCAGGTTTGTCCATTGATTATTGCGCTTACATATTTGAAGTAATATATGTCGATTCCATCATGCCCCCTGCCTTTATTATGTTGTCTTTTTCTTTCTTGAAAGTAGTTGGCTACCAAAAAGTGGTGCATCTTAAATTTGATAAGAATTCATGGAACGTGAATTCATTTATCCTTATGGAAACAAAAATAATGTATCACTTCAGAAGGAAGAGATATCACTTATTAGGGGCGTGTTCGCTAGAGATTAAAATTGGATTAAAATTGAAAAACTAGCTGTTATAGTTGACTTTTATTAGACGAGTGAGACCCAATAACGACCATATTTTCAATTAAAATTGGATTTTAATCTTGGGCAAACATGCTCCTATGATTGAGATTAATGATAGTATGCCAGTATGCTCAATGTGCAACTAGAAGTTTATTGGAACCTTCTTCTAGAGATGTGGTATCGTGATTTCTCCGGAGAATTGTGGCCATCTATCGTATCATATTGTTGCCATTGATGTTCAATCTTCAAGAGAAGGAAAAAAATCTTTGTATGATAATCCCGTCACGTACTTTACTTTTGTTGGAATTTCTTCTTATATCAACTAAAGCCTTGGCTAGTTCTATCACTATTAAGGGGGTGTTTGTTTGAGATTTTTGGGGGAAGAATTGATTTTTGAATAGTGATATGATGAGAAATGTGTGGTTGAAAAAGAAGAAAATATTATTGATATGATGGAAAATATTATTTTATTGAAAAATGTGTGGTTAGGGAAAATATTATTTTATTGAAAAATGTGGGGTTGAAAATGAAAATTGATTTACTGTAAAATTTGAGAATCCGAAACAAACGAGCTCTAAATCCTTGACAAATCTAGAAATTTTGTCTACTTCATGTCTTTGGTAGATTTTTTCACTTTTCAAACATTACAAAAATCTTGGTCAGGAATTTAGCCTCCGTTCAGGAAGAATTTATGAACAATATAATTTATGAAGAGATAGAAATGAGTGGATCTGGAATTGGAATGTGTGGTTAAAAATGAAATTTATCCATTTATAAATAATTTATAATTTTCGCCAAACGTAGGCTAGGTTAATCATAATTTGGCATCAAGAATGAATGACTTGATCTGATTTAAATAATGCTCATATCTATGCAACTAATTAATTTTCAGGTTGCACAGGCACAGGCAGAAGAAGCTGCATATATGCAGAAGCGTCTGAATGAAGACCATATGACAGACTTAAAAGCATCAATGGCATCGGCAGACACCAATACAAAACCAGCACAAACAACTAAAAAATCTGCTGCAGCTATTGCAGCCGAAGTTGCAGATAAGCTAGCCGCTTCGAGCTCATCCCAGTATATTTTGACCTCTGTTCTTTCTGCGTTTGCAGCTGAAGAAGCAAAAAATGCCGGGCTTGTGAAGTCTTCATCACCCTCGACTTCTTTCTCATCCGTCTTCAATACTCCAATGGCTGTAAATATGCGGAAGTGTCTGAATGAAGACCATATTACAGCCTCAAAAACACCGATGGCATTGGCAGATACCAATAAAAAACCAGCACAAAAAAAAGAAAAAGCTGCCGCAGCTATCGCAGCCGAGGTTGCAGATAAGCTAGTCGCTTCGAGCTCGTCCCAGTATATTTTGACCTCTGCCCTTTCAGCGTTTGCAGCTGAAGAAGCAAAAAATGCTGGGCTTGTGAAGTCTTCATCACCCTCGGCTTCATTCTCATCTGTTTTCAATACTCCAATGTCGAAACCAGTTTCTGATCAGACTGCTTTCATGCCGGCACAACATGCTAATCCTCCTCAAAACAACCCATTTCAATCCCATGTGTTGCCCCAGCCATTAATCGAAGGTCAAATTTCCAATTCTCGGTATCCGTGCCCATCACTTCCCAGGCCACCCTCTCAGCAGTATCTGCACCCACCAGTTGGAATTGTGGCCTCGTATGATTATGGTAGTTTTCCACCCCTGCCTCCCAGACCACCCCCACCCCCACCCCCACCTCCATTTTACATGAAGAGCCCAATGGTGCCTTTTGCCCAGCAACCACCGCAGATGACTCAACAGCCATGGACATTATCTCAGCAGCAAACAGGACCAGTACCTCAACAACTGCATGCAGCACCTAGTTCGCTTCCTGTTGCCCCATTTCAGGCATCTAGAATGCGGCACTTGGGTAACCTGTATTACTCGCAGTGAGAAACTTAAGGTCCAGTCTTTTTTCAACTGGTGGTGCTGATTATGATTTTCTATTTATCTACCTTTAGGGCTAGTTCAGGCTCCCATTCACCACCTCCCATCGTCGCTTGTCTAATGAAAATTCTTTCTGAAGTTTCTGTAATTTGATCGCTCGATGGGAGCGTACACTTTTTCATTGCTTTTCAAACCATGTAAAAGATTAGTTTTGCTGATGAAAATATCTGGAGATATGGTTACTCAGAGAGGTTGATGTTGGGAAATCACAGTGGAAATTTTACACTCACAATGCAAGCAAAAATTATCGAAGCATAACAGAAAAACAGAGAAACTGAAAGAAAGAAACCGAGAGCTTCTTCCCTTTCACCAGCCGGAAATACTAGGCTCAGAAACAGTCCTTGCACGCACTGCAAATCGCCATCCAGAGAGAGAACAACCGGCCAGAACCACTCAATACTTGGCTTGGATCATCGATCAAAAGATCTACCAAAAGCAACCAAGTTCAAGCCACCAAACTGACCAAGAGCAAGGGAAGAGGAAGAGTCTTAAAAAGAGAAAGTGAAGTCCCATCCTAGTCTCTCAAGGGAGCCCAAGAGACAAATATCTCACAAGAATAAACCCCAGCCGTCGATCTCATCCAAGGGCCATAAGTGATCCTAAACTAGCACAATCCAAGTGACTACCAAGCTACCAATAAGTAGATGACACTTAAGCAGCAAAGGAAAAGAATAATCAACAATACAAAAGTCACAAATAGCACTAGTCTAATAGTGTTAGAGAACCACTAAAGCCCACCGTTGAATTATTTCACACCGTGAGCAATCATGAATATATTATGTCCTGCATTTCATAACTTGTTTTACATTTGTAGGTTAATTTTCTGACTCATTCAATCGTCAGATTTATGGCATGATAATTTTTACATTTTTAGGGTGTGTTTGTGACACATTTTTTTGAAAGAATGTATTATTGAATAGTAGATTGATGGAGAATGTGTGCTTAAAAATGAAGGAAAAGTTATTGATGTGATGGAAAATATTATTTTATTGAAGAATGTGTGGTTGAAAATGAGTAGAAGAATGAGAATGAAAAAAATAATGTATACCAAACAGTGTTAAGGGATATAATCCCACATCGAATAAAGATGTTGACACAGACCAATTAATAAAGATCTTGAGCTACTCCTCTTAATAAGGTTGACCTTTTAAGATGGACCCTCAAATCTTAATATGGTATCAGAGCCCATTATGCTCCAACGAGCGATTCGATCCCGGTAAGACTCCAAAAAGTGAGCACGTGGATTTCAAGATTGGTCTGCTCAAATGAGCCACCATCTTGCGGGGGCGTGTTAAGGGATATAATCCCACATCGAATAAAGATGTTGACACAGACCAATTAATAAAGATCTTGAGCTACTCCTCTTAATAAGGTTGACCTTTTAAGATGGACCCTCAAATCTTAATAAACAGGGCCTTATTCTGTTTCTGTTACTATTTTTTGTTGTCTGAATGTGACTACTGACACTTACTGGAGGTTAGAAGTTTAAGCCGTCTGAGGGATGACATTGAAGCAGAAAGGCAAACGTCAATGTGGAAATTCCACCAACTCCTTTGGCTTGTATGTCAATGCATGCCTTTAGTGTCATGTTTGGTATGCTAGAGAAGCTAACATGATCAATGTTGTCGAAATACCTCCCACCTCTGGGTTTCTTTTGGGGTGGGGTGGAGACTTGCTCTGGGCTTGGAGAATACAAGACTAGGAAACAGTGGTTTTTAGCCGCATGAGCTGCCATAAGAATTTGCTGGTGCCTGCATCTCTAACTTAACTGATGGTCCACTCGAGCGTTCCAATGAACAACCGTTCTCCGTCTTACTATATTTAGTGGTCAATACATTGGGAGTTACCAAAGCTGTTGGCTGGGTGGACTTTCTTGTTTCTCCCAAGTTTACAGTCATCAACACTTAGTTTTTCTACCATGAAGCAGTTTGCAGCCTTGGTTCTTGCTTTTATTTGTGCTGCTCTCCACTCTCTTAGTTCTCTGAAGTTTCTTAATTTGGCTTTTCTGCTGTACATAAACATGGGCATACTAATTCGGTTTCCCTCTTAGGGTATATCATCTAGGACACAGCCATCAGATTTTGGATATCGCCTGTGATATTTTAAAATGGTGCACCTTTCATGTAATTAAAAAACATATTAAGAAAAAAATATATTCCAATAATATTATTTCATTGCAAAAATATGACATTTAAATATTATTTATTTTTTTGTATGTCGTGAATAAGAAAAGTATTAATAAAGCTCAAAAACACCTTACAAAGAACAATCCAAGCTATTAACCTCTTTGTGCAATTCTCTATGAGTAAACCTTGAAAAAAAAAATAGCAAATACTATGTGTAAACCTTGAAATGCAACAAATCATTTATAAAAAAAAATCTTTTTCGTATTTCTAGAAGCAAACTCAATAATTAAACTTTCATAATCAATATGTTTTTAGCAAATCTTGTTCAATAGATATCAAAATTAGCACATTCAGTCGTTCTTAAAACATGATTGATCGCAAATAAGATTTTACAATTTTGAAAAACTTATTTCGATAGATGCTACGGCAACATGAATTGTCAATAGTAATTAATATATTTGGAAAGCAATCCAGTCTTTTCAAATAAATGAATATATCAAAAGTTGTTATCGTTTTTTTTTTTAATAAAAGATTTTGCAAAGTAATATGTTCAATTAAAAAAAATATTAACATAATATAAATTTTTTTTACCCTTTTATCATAAATATTGCGCCCTTTAACTTAATATAATAATAAAAAAATTTAAAATTAATAAAACATTTTAAATGTATAATTAAACACATATATATACACACATATAACCAAAAAAAAAGTTTTGGTGTCCCTATAGTACTGAGGTTATGCGCAGTCCTTCAATTCGCGCACCATCAGGGCCGCCTCTTAACAATTTGGACTTTCCATGATGCAAGAAAGTGACATAAGAGAAAAAAACAAAAAAAATTATGAAAATGATCTGCACTTTTTTATGAATTGGGAAATAGATTGCAACAAAGAATTGGAGGAGAAACAGGGCTCGATATTGAATTGGTTTGAGCAGATGATGCTAAGACGGGAATGACAAGACCGAACACAATATTTTGGATTTGTTTCACAAGGCTGACTGAAAATATTGATATCTTATGGAGAAAATCCAGATTGGTGGCTGTCTAAGGATGAAAAGACTTTCTCAGTGAATCGTTTATCGGAGGAAGAGAAAGTGGAAGCCACTACAACTTGTTTTGGCGTTGAGTCATGGGCTTAGTTTGAAGGGTAGATCAGCGCCAACCTATGCAAAACTTGGGAAGAATTGAAGAGATTAATGCTGGAAGGTTAGACTGTTACATGAAAGAACACATCTGGAAAAATTTGTGAAGGAGAAAATTCCTTGGTTCGATGGATAAAATCCTGTGAGTGGGTCTCTTTGGTGGAGGAATATTTTGCACTGAATTTCATCTCTGAATGAGAGAAATTGGAGGAGAAGAGGTAAGCTTCAACAGAGAGGCCCTCACCTGGTTTCTATTGGCAGATAGATGCCAACCCATTTGAGATTCGGGTTGAATGGAGGAATTATTCGTTAGTTAGTTAGTTAGCCTACATCGCCAGCGGAAATTATTGTATGAAACTGCCAGAGGTGAGAGGAAGTTGCATAAGATTCCGAATGCACCTCTTTGCAGCAGCAAGATGAGCAAATAGTACAGATGTTTAAAATAAACTTGATTTGGACTATTTTATTATTTTAGTTTTGGGCTTGTTAATTATTGCAGTTAAGTGAGTCCACAAGCCCATATCTAGAATAGTTCATACTTCGGAATAAGTCATGATCTATAATAATCCGCTATTTAGAATTGTCTTGTATTAGAAAGTATTCAGTGGATATTAGTAGGTAGTTGAAAGATGCATTTATTTTGGTAGTTGAGTAGTATGAAGAAGAGTCCATTGATCACTATAAATAGAAGTGCTCACTTGTCATTTGTAATAAGCCAATTTAAAGAGAATACAATACAAGTTCCTTCTCTAGCCTCTTCAACCTCTTAATGATTCTCCTAAACTACTATACGAACAAGTCCTCTTCCTAACAAATTGGTATTAGAGCACTAGATCCTTTGAAGGAGATGGCAAACGGTATGGTTCCCTTTCAAGTTCCATCACTTGATAAGGACAATTATGACAAATAGAGTATCAAAATGAAGGCATTGCTCGGGTCAGAAGACCTATGGAGATCGTAGAGAAAGGGGTACAATGAACCAAATGATGATGCTACTATACTTCAAGGGCAAAGGGATGCCTTGAAGAATTTAAGAAAGGGAGACAAGAAAGCTTTCTATCTCATTTGTTGATCACTTGATAATGATGGATTTGAGAAGATTCCGAATGCAAGTACCTCCAAAGAAGCTTGAGATAGGTTTCAAACGGCCCACATAGGAGTGGAGAAAGCCAATAAAGTTTGTTTTTGTTAGTTGTTTGCTGTTTTTAATAGAGGCCCGTTTTAAATAGCAGCTGGTCTGGCCCAAGTTTCTGGCCTAAAAGGCGGTCCAACCTACTGAAGATTTTGAAACTAGTATATATACCATTTTCGTCTTTAGGGTTACATAGTTCTCAGTTTAGGGCGCAGCTTTCTCTCTCTGTTATTCGACTTTTACGTTCTTCTCTCTATAAAATAGATCTCTATATTTCTTGTGTGATTTTTAGAGATAAGAGAGTAGATCAACGATCTCTTATGTGAGTTCATGATTATTGGGAGAAATTGTTTGAGTGATTCATTGATGTTTTGAGTCGTGTACTGTAAATTCTATTTTCTACCATTTTTGGGAGATTTAGTGGATTTGAGCTTAATCCTTTAACGGATGCTCAACGGGGATGTAAGCATCTGAAAGGTCGCTGAACCTGGGGGCCTAAGGCCAAAAATTCCTTGTGTTGTGATTCTTGATATTCTGCTTCGTT